ATTGACATTCCCCTACAGCATAACAGTTACCACTTTAACAAAGAACAGTGAAGTCCTCCCATCATGCCCACGACTCTCCTCGTGTCCATTTACAAAGCTGTGCTACGTTACAATGAGCTCCTGGATTAAATGGTACCAAATGAGGCTTGCCTCTTTGGAAGGAAATGATGTGATCAACTTTCACACACCCATCAGGGGAGCTTGCTGTACATCTTGCTAGGAGTCCACATCCTCATACATATTTCAAAAGCCTTTCAGAGTTCCATTATAAACCACAAAATCCGCCTCCTTCCTATCTAGATAACAATGTTACATTCATTAATAAGGGATGGAATACAAAGCCTCCCCAAAATTATAACGATACAAATCCTCTTGCAATTAGATGTAACTATTCACCGTCTCACATCTAGGTCTCGCATCAAAAAACAATCAACGCTAGCCTGCCTAATGGACCTCCTACATCGCACAATTAACACCAAGGACAAACAATAAAGATGGGGAATCATTGCTCTCTGATTGTTTCAGTTTTTTAAAAAGTTTATTTTTTGTCCTTCAAGGCCCATTGATATGCAGGTTAAGAGTAAACCCTTGTCTTCCTCTACCAAAGAGGAGATGAAAGTGGGATACAACACACAGACCTGTTCGCTGAAGATTTTGTGGTGACTGACACACTGCGGGACAGATTTTGAATCACTAAAGCACACACATTCAAATGACAGGTACAAACCATACACCTGCTTGTGGAGGAGGCTAGTAAAACAATCTTAATTCAACAAAATATTTCTAAAGCCATTCATAATTGTGAGCTGATAAATATAATATATGTATATATATATATATATATATATATATATATATATGCTGTTTGAACACACACACATTTGAAAGGTGAAAAAAGAGTAGAAGCAATATTTCTAAAGCCAAAGCAGCATTGCTTTTTAAATTAGCTTTTTATTAACTCAGTTCTCAGTTTATTTTCTATAAACCCTCATGCCCATGAAGTGACTTTAATGGAAGGACACTGAGCCCTTCTGACAATGCTGAAATATATTGCATATCTGTGTGTGCGTACATGTATCAGCTGGAGCTGGGACTGCTGATCAGTGTGTGTGTGTTAGATCAGGCCAGATGATGATCTGGTTGACCGGTGTTAGCTGAGCGCGTTGGGAGAGCTGAACGCCACTCGCCTCCCCTGCTGCTTCTCAGACCAAACTGGCTGTTTCTAATGAGACAGGCGGATAGGGAGCTGTCACACTGACGGGGGCCACCTGACACATGAAAATGAGACCCCCGATCAGCTCGCTGGGATTGGGAAGGAAAACTGGGAGGGACTTGGAGGGTGGAGAAGTGAAAGGGGGAAGGATAGGGAGGGTGGCTTACCAGCTGTCAGAGGACTGAGTGACAGATCAGGGAAGGTGGCTGAGCAGCTAAACTCTCTGTGAGTGACAACAGACAAAAGGCACATATCTGCATACACATTCGGCTGCAACTCCTGTCTGTGTCTCCGTCACCTGACAGGCCTACAAGGACCAATCCTGTTTTACTCAGGTACTTATTTCCACCGGCCAAGAGTTTGAGCAGAATCGGGCTCATTGATCTACATTTATACCTTCTGAGACTCTCATTACTAAAACCAAAATTCAAAGTCGTAGTTCTCCTTGTCCAAATTCCTCTCAGAATCACTCAGTTTAATCTCAGTTTGTGATAAACACAGTAGCTTCAGCGACATATACCATCCAAATTTTGCAAAGCATATCTGGTTATTCCTCCAAGATGCCCTGCAGACATGCTTTTCTGAGTGATGACTGTGGGATTATCTCTCCATTACAGTGATTCTATCTGACAAGGCGTTCTGTCACATCTCAAACGGCTGTTTCCCTTGAAGAGCCAGGTGCTCTCTCCACGTCGCTCACATCCGCAGTATTGCCGGAGATTTGAGACAGCCCTGCGTTACATTTTATCTGCGGGGGAGAAAGTGAGCGCTGGGGCTCGGCGACACTCCCATCCTTCAAGGTGTTCTTGTTCCATCTGCCGGAGGGTCCATTGGGAATACTTCTCTCTGAGCTCTTCCTCAGTCCCAGCGAGCAGCCTTTCATGTCAGACAGGATACCAGACAGGAATCCCAGCTAGCACTCGGCTTCACTTAAGACTTACATGTTGACAGAGAGAAAGAGGAGTGTTCTCTTATCTCTGAATGGACTCTTTTTTCTTCTTAGACAGCCTACTCAGATGCCAAACTAAAAACATTTGCAGCATGGTAGAGGATGGATCAAGAGGTATGAACAGTTACAACAGTATGAAAGGAGCTGTCTATTATATCTACTGTAGAGGCCTGTACCATGAGTTTAGGTAAGCAACTGTTATGCTTTGTATCCACCTCAGTTAATTCTTGGTGTACGTTTAAATGTAAAATACCAAATTAAATAGTGCATCTGCTCATATAAAGTGTTTGCACAAAGTCTAAGGTGTCTACTTATTGGGCCAGTTATGAGTGTGACTATAACAAGGTAGCACTTATGTTAAGACAATTGACACAAAGCCAAAGCTGAATCATAACTCATGGAGCATTGCACTAGTGATGGGAATCTTGGCTCTTTGGAGGGAGCCGGATCTTATGGCTCCGTTCCTTTGCGAGAGCCGTTCGAAAGAGCCGTTCAAAGGAGCCGTTCAAAAGAGCTGTTCTTTTTTTAAGGGGTGGGGTTAATGGGGTTATCTGCGAAATAATCACCAGGATAATGATTGACTGTATTGCCAGAAATCTACTTTTACTCACAGAAACATGTATAACATGCTACATCTCTCAGGCAGCCAAACAACTACTCAAGCAGCGTTATGCAATCATCTATGGAACATTTGCATTCAGGAAAGCAAGTTCCCGTAAAGGCGAGTGGATTTATGGCAGGCAGAGAACCAACGATAAAAAGAACGGCTCTCACCAAGTACGACTCAGTTCCCTTCGTTCGTACCAAAGAGCCGCTCAAAATAATCGGATCGTTCGCCAACGTAACATCAGTACCTGGCACCGCTTTATTCTCAGTTAATTTAAACATCTTTGTTCAACCAACACCAAGTTTTTATTTAATTAAACATTGGTTTTTTTCTTTATAGGAGGGCATCCTCAGTGAGAACATTTTACTCCCAAGAGCTGTTTTAAAATGAATTTTTCACAAATCTTTAAAAGAGAGTCGATGCAGTTCATTACCATTGTTTTTTTTGTGTAAATTCTATAAAACAGCAGGGTAAAATAAACAAGTGACAAACGTGAACTGAGAACACAAAGTATTACTATCTTGGACCTGGATGTGTTTAAAGACAAACAAAAATACCTTATATGTGAAACTTCGCAATTAGAATTACAATAGTAAAGTACAATGTAAACACTAACCATTACATTTGTTATATTATGCATTGTCTGTCTGTATAAAAAGCCCTTAGTGATGTTTTCATACTTAAAAATATGTTAAAAACAGAGAATGAGATGTTTTGACCTGCAGTATTCAAATGCATACATTTTTGTATTTCTTGTTTGTGGGCAGAAAACATCAGTGTTTGTTTCAACTATGATCTAAAGAGTTCTATTTTTAGATTAGAGGACAGCTATTGTGATAGTAGGCCTCAAAAAGCACAGGTCAATACACATTAGTGGTTAAAAAGGCACTACAATGACTAATTGTGATTTTCCATTGGACAGTGTGAAACTGTACATGTTTGCAAGATGTGGTTTATTTATTGATGGGTGAGAGGGTATTAAAAGCCAGACAGAACATTCTGCACAAGGCTCTTTTATATGTGGACAAGTCTGACAACACATGAGTTACAGCAAATAACAACAACAAAATGAATGGCATTGATTTTCCATCACAGTACAACTAAAATGGACAAAATGTGAAGAGTGTGAGAGCAGAGGTGGGGAGCGAGGCGTCTTTGGTGAGTGCAGGAAATGGGTGCAGATGATAAAAAATGGATGGTAAAAAATGGACATGTTAGAGAAAAATGGAAAAAGACAGTCGTTTAGGGGAGCCCATGAAAGGCTGCAGCTGAATTGACTGAGACAGGAATCAATACAGGTGCTTCAGCTAGAGCTGGGCTAGAGAGATGGCTGGACTGGGGAGAAAGCACATTGATGTTC